TGGGAACGGCGGTACTGTTTTAGGCCCAGACTATAATAATATTATTATAACAACTTCAAATCGGCAAAGGCTTTTTTTAACGTTGATAAATAGTATTAGTTTGGATTTACTAGAAACTGAATAAAAAGTATTATCAACAGTCAATCTTTCGTCCACTATCCAGCGGACAAAAAAGTGACCGGTGCCACCAGTCTTGTCCAACGAAGGGACTGTCCCTGTTAAGAGAATGTTGAGGACTTTGGGAAATCAATTAAGGTAGCTCTGAAAGAAGCCAAGGATGTCGGCTCTATAATGAAAACAATTAAGAAACGACAAATGCAGTTTCTGGAACACTCAAATCACCATAAAAACTTAAACATTTTGTTCTCAGTAAAAAAACAAAACACACATCAAAGAACAAATGAACCAGGGTAGACCCAGAGCAATTATTTACTTAGAAAACCGTTAGAGATGGGTGACAGAGGCAGAAAAAAACAACAGGATAATGATGTTATGTTTTTTTTTAGCGCACCCAAGCAAAGAATTAATGAATGGCGAACCGTAATCGCCGGTGACTGTTTTTTCCTCTTCAGATCTGGCGCTTAATGATGATGCTATTATGCAAACTGGCATAATGATATTTGATTATGATATATGATTTTTGTCTTCGTCTGCATAATATAACTTTTGAAGTATACACGGCCCTAACTTTTGCAACCATGGCGACTGATTGTCTCTTTAGAGAAAAAAAAGGGTTATGTCCATACTTGCGTCACAAAACAATAAATTCCCATTAAGTAAATGTTACTGTTTGCTTGATTTGCCGACTGGTTAACTCAATATGGACACGCGTGCTGTTTATTCGCCAAAATTTGAAGTCTTGCTATTATGTGTCTCTTTAAAAAAAAAAGAAGCGCATCTTCATTAATGTTCAACCTGGTGTTTCAGTTCTGATTTTTTTAAAAATCTGAAATGTAAATGCACCAACATGCATACTATGAATTATAATAATATTATATTTAATTATGCACATGTGTATTTTGTATTTGTGCATGATAGTCTGAAAGGTGACTACAACATTGCATAACTAGGCTTGCTGCTTGTCGGACACGTATGTCAGCTACGATCTTAAAGAGTTAAAGGGAAACGTAAGGCGAAATTATCTTCAGTTGCGTGTACTTCTGTTTGTTGTTGTTTCCCCCGGTGGTTTTCTGCACCGAGAGGTCAGACAGTTCTTGTTTACCGACAGCGAGGGCCCGAGGGGGCGAGAGTCGGGGCGGGG